GTATGTCGATTTTTTTTTCCTGAGTCTGTGTTACTTAGGATAACAGTTTCTAGTTCCATCCATTTACCTGCAAATTTCATGATTTCATCTTTCTTTACTGCTGAGTAAAACTCCATCTTATAAATGAACCACATTTTCATAATCCACTTGTCAATTCAGGGACACTTAGGTTACTTCCATATCTTAGCTATTGTGAAAAGAGCAGCAACAAACATGGATGTACATGTGTCTCTGCAATAGGAAGAGTTCTTTGGATATATGCCAAGGAGTGGTATAACTGGGTCAAATGGTAGGTTCATTTGTAGTTTTTTAAGAGTTCTCCACACTGTTTTCCATAGCGATTGAACAAGTTTGCAGCCCCACCAGCAGTGGATGAGTGTTCCCCTTTCCCCATATCCTCTCCAACATTTGCTATCATTTGTTCTCTTGATCTTAGCCACTCTGAGTGGGGTAAGAGGAAATCTTAAAGTGGTTTTAATTTGCATTTCCCTAATTATTAGTGATGTTGAACATCTTTTAAGATGCTTCTTAGCCATCTTTACTTCTTCTTTTGAGAACTTTCTGTTCAGCTCCTTAGCCCCTCTTTTAATTGGGTTACTTCCTGTCTTGAGTCTCTGTTTTTCGAGTTCGTTATATATTCTGGATGTTAAACTTCTGTCAGATGTGTTGCTGGTGAAGATTTTCTCCCATTCTGTGGGTTTTCTCTTCACTTCCCTGGTTGCCTCCTTTGATGTACAGAAGCTTTTTAATTTAATGAGGTCCCATTTGTTGATTCTTGACCTTGTTTCCTAAACAATTGATGTCCAGTTTAGAAAACCCTTTCCTACATCTATATAGTGGAGGTGTTTACCAATGTTTTCTTCTAACAGTTTCAGAGTTTCCAGCTTTACATTGAGGTCTTTGATCCATTTGGAACTGACTTTTGTGCAAGGTGAAAGATAGGGGCTTATTTTCATTGTTCTACTGGTGGAGATCCAGTTTTGCCAGCACCATTTGCTGAACATGCTCGTTCCTCCAGTGAATGTTCTTGGCCCCTTTGTCAACTATCAGGAGGCTGAAACTGTATGTACTCATATTTGGGTCTTCAGTTTTGGTCCATTTATCAATGGGTCTATTTTTGTGCCAGTACCATGTTATTTTTATGACTATAGCTCTGAAATACAGCTTAAAATTTGATGTAGTAATTCTCCCAGCATTGCTCTTAGTGCTCAGGTTTGCTTTGGCTATCTGAGGACTTTTGTGCTTCCATATGAATCTTAGGATGATTTTTTTCCAATTCTGTGAAAAGTGTCATGGGGATTTTGATTGGCATTGCACTGAATCTATAAATGGCTTTTGGTAGGATGGTCATTTTC